AAAAGTCAACCATCAAATAGAGGTCGTGGAAGAGGAAGAGGTAACTATAGAAATTCTAACAAATCAAATATTGAATGTTACAATTGTCATAAATATGGACATTATACTTGGGAATGTCGTAACACTTTAAACGAGAAGGAGGAATAAGCCAACTTTCTCAATGATAAATAAGAAGAGGAAAAAATAACTTTGTTGCTAGCATGTAAAGATGGAGATAGTAATACACATAATTCATGGTACTTAGGTAATGGAGCAAACAATCACATGTGCGACAATAAAGAAAAATTTGTGGAGCTTGATGAGAAGATTAATGGTAATATTTTTTTTGGAGACTCTTCAAAAGTTCAAATTCAAAGAAAATGTACAATTCTAATCTCTTCAAAAAATGATGGGCATGTACTTATTACTAATGTTTACTATGTACCAAAATTAAGAAGTAATATTTTGAGTTTGGATCAACTTCTTAAAAAAGGATGTGAAATTCACATGAAAAATTATTGTCTTTAGCTTAAAGATCAAAGTGCTAACTTGATTGCTAAGATGCACATGTTAAAGAATAGAATGCTTATCTTGAATCTCAAAACTATTAAAGTAAGATGTTTGAAGGCTAGTATGGAAGATGAAGCATGGTGTTGGCATATGAGATTTGGTCATTTGAACTTTGGCACACTAAAGGTGATGGGAGAAGAAAACATAGTGAAGTGAATGCCATTAATCAACCATCCTAATCAATTATGTGAAGCATGTCTACTTGGAAAGTATTCGAAAAGGAGTTTCCCAAAAGAAGCTACTACAAGAGCAACCAAGCTACTTCAACTTGTGCATGCCGATGTGTGTGGACCAATAAATCCACTTTCATTTAGTAAAAACAAATACTTTCTACTATTTATTGATGATTTTAGTAGGAAGAATTGAGTATATTTTTTAAAGCAAAAATCAGATGTTTTTGTTGCTTTTAAAAATTTCAAAACTCTTGTAGAAAAATATTGTGATAGTAGAATAAAATCTTTGAGAACAGATAGAGGAGGTGAATTTATTTCCAAAGAATTCCATGATTTCTGTGAATCTAATGGAATTCATCGCCCTTTAACGATCCAAGATCACCACAACAAAATGGAGTTATGGAAAGAAAGAGTAGAACTATTCTTAATATGGCTAGAAGCATGTTGAAAGCAAAAAACATACCCAAGGAATTTTAGGCCGAAGCAATTTTTTATGGAATGTATTTATCTAATAAATCTCCAACATCAAGTTTGAAAGACATGACTCCCCAAGAAGCATGGAGCGGAATGAAACCTAATGTCAACCATTTGCGAGTTTTTAGAAGTATTGCGTATATGCTCATGTTCCACAACAAGAGAAGCTCGATGATCGAAGTGTCAAACATATTTTCATTGGGTATGACGCAAACTCAAAAGGCTATAAATTGTATAATCGAAGCAATGACAATATCATGGTAAGTAGAGATGCTGAATTTAATGAAAAAGCGACTTGGAATTGGGAAAAGAAATAAAAAAATGCTTATGATTTCTTTCCATACTTTGAAGAGAAGAACCAAGAGACCATGGTACCTTTGCAAGAGGCATCTCCACCTCATTCTCCAACTCATGTTGTATCACCCATTTCTCCAGAAAGTTCAAGTGAAAGGCCACAAAAGTTGAAGAGCATTCAAGATCTTTACTATGAAAATGATGAGATCACTAGTTTTGATACAAATGATTTGTTTTGTCTTTTTCTTGATAGTGAACTAACGAATTTTGATGAAGCCATCAAAGATGCAAGATGGAGACAAGCCATGCAGGAAGAGATCAAATCTGTAAAAAATAACAACACATAGGAACTATCCACTCTTCCTAAGGGACATAAAACTATTAGTGTCAAATGGGCCTATAAAAGTAAAAAAGATTCTCAAGGAAATGTGAAAAGGTATAAGGCAAAACT